TTCTTCTTTCTTTCAAAATAAATCGAATTCGAGCCTACCTGTTTTTTTTTTTCATCTGTCACTTGCTCGTCCCTCTCTCATGAAAAATGGTCTCTCCTCTCCTCTCGCTGTCAGGTTTGGTTCTTGTTCCAGGTTGGGTCTCACTGTTTTATTATTGATTGTCCCATGGTTAGAATACTCTTTTTTCGCAAGGGAGATTTATATTATGACTATAATAATCTTGCTTGGTTGAATTTTTGTTGTTATATATTCTTAGGAGTTGTGATTCATTTTCACTAGAAAAGTTATAGCTGGATAACTCTTGTTTTTTGTTTATTCTGTATGACATCATTGGATGAGTTCACTGAACTCTTTTCTTTCCTCCTTCGCATTTTGAAATGAGCTACGAAAGTCTGAAATTCTTTTATCAAGTCAAACCATCTTGAAAACTCGAAGAACATGTCCCGAAAAGTTGATACACGTCCGGAAGAAGGAAATGGGGTCCATATATGAGTTGCATACATTGATATACAACTCGTGTATACAAACACAAAATTGAGTAGAAGCTCAAAAATTTTCAGCGAAATTGACCCAAAAAGGGCCCAAATTCAATTTGTCCTTTATCCTTAACTTATTTAATTGTGACCATTTATTTATGGGAAAATTGTATATAATAGCAAACTAATAACCTAAATTAAATGAAATAGCTAGAGTTTGATTTAATTGTGCTCCATAGCAACATTAGCTAAAATTTGCCAGCGTCTCTCTCCCAAAAATCTCGCTCGCCTCTCTCGCTTTATACACAGAAGTGTATAATTCTGTTTCTGTTTTGTATAAAGCGAGAGAAAATTGTATATACACATGCAAAAATGTATATATTCGTGTTATACACTTAATTATACAATTTACAAACATTTTACTTCAAATATTGTAGAGAAAAAGGTCAACGAATTATACAATTGCAGTGAAATACAATTTTCTCTAGTTTTATACAACAGAAGTGTATGCATTGCGTTTTTGTTTTTGTATAAAGCGAGAAAAACATTTATCTTCTTGCTATACATTTATAATTATGCAATATACATACATTTTAATTAGATTCAATTGTATGCAAAGCAAATTATACAATTGCAGCGAAATAGGCCAGCGAATTATACAATTTAGGCCAGCGAATTATACAATTGTATATGTATAGCGAATTATACAGTTTTATGTTTGCTATGGAGCGTAATTATGCAAACTTTGCTATAGCATACAAATATGAATTTTTTGATTGCTATATGTGAAAGTTGCCATTTATTTATTGTTTATTGTATTAACTTTAATTCTTTATTTGACTTGGCTATAACTTAATTAAATTCCAAAAAGACGAACTATATTCTTTACGTTAGTCTACTTTAATAAAATTTCATTTTTTCTACTCTTATAAGTTATTGAAGATATTTAGTCAAAACTTTTTTATTTATTCTCCAATTAATTTAAAATAGTTTTCATGCTTTAATTAATCAAATTGATTTAAATTATTATTTAGAAATGAATTAAATAAATTCTAATTAATCTTGTTTTTGTTAAAATTCTAATCACTTGTAATGCAAGTCAAACGTTTCTAAAAGGTCCAATTTTCATTTTAAAAAATAAAGATTATTTGATTTGTTTGACTATCTTGTTTTGAAGTTATCGAATATTATAAATTGTATTTATGTTAAATCATTTTTTTCAAATAAAAAATAGTCAAAAAGTATTTTGGTCAAGTCTTAGGATAATTGTGTGTTAGCAGACACTTCAAATGTTTCAAAAACGTTTTTGAAGTGTAAATAAGAACTTCTTATCCATTATTTCTAAATTTTTAAAGTCTTAATCTATTAAAGTCCTTTTAAATTAAGTTTTCTTGAGTTCTTTAAAAAATTAAATGAAGATTTTTTCTTCTAAGTATTTTTCTGAAATTGTTTTATACGTAGAAATATTTCAAAAGAATTATTTTTCTAAAGATAGTAAAATGACGGCATAACGTTTTGACAACTTCATTACCATCATCTTCTTGCCAAATTCTTATCATCTCATATGGTTTTCGAAAGAGGTTTTTGAAGCAAAGAAGACCTCGAACTACCTTCATTCTGTCACGTTCCATTGTCTTTTCGCGAATCTATAGTAAGAAAAATCAAGAATATATACAAATAACTGATGCCTTAGAAAGGTATGACCCACACCTAACTCAGCTCTACTGCTATTACACTCCTATGTTAATTAACAAGCAACACTCATCAATGTCTCTACAGGTTTTGTCAAGCTTGGCATCACCCGAATACAAGATAATTGTGAATAACTAAAAGATTCAACTTTGAAGAATCACTCGACTGTTAATGATGGTTGCTACTTTGCATATATAAATATTAAATTGTGTGTACGGATAGTTTAATCATCAATTTGTGTATACCAACAGTTCGAACAAGATGCTTGATTCACTTAGGCAGTACTGATGATATAATGTATATATTATTACGTTTTCCAATTTCTGAATTTGCATTATAACATAATTTTATATACAAAATATAAATAAATAAATATTGAGCATGTGCACGCACGAACAAACACCAACTAGTGTGTGTTCCAAATTTATCGTTTTCTTATATATATATATATATATATATATATATGTATATATATATTATTGTGGTATTTTTAAAAAAGTATTTTTAAGTTTTTCTTAATACATTTCACCTTTAAACGTTTAGTTCAACTTCATCAGTCAAACAAATAAATCATAAATTATTACTGAAATCTAGTATAAGAGAGTAAATAGAGATATCACTTTTTTTTTAAAAAAATATAAATTAATTAAAGTAAATAAATTTTATTTACTTTAATTAATTTATTTAAAGGTGATATATCTACTTACTTTTTATACTAAATTTCAATAGGAATTTATATACTTTAAGAGAGATCTTAATTAATATATTTTACGTCAAAATTGAACTGTTATGATTAGGATAAAGCTAATCAATAATTAATTGGTCATTGAAATTTAGTAAAAAATATATATATAAATAATTACTTTTTAAAAAAATTAATTTGCATATACTTTTATTGTGGTATTCTAATTTTTAAATCCTTAGTTAAAATTCATCGGTCAGACTGTTACAATTAGGATGTAAATATATTTGAAGAACAAGTCAGGAATTCGTCGAGCAAAATATTATATAATTTAGATAGAAAAATCGTAGAGTTTAAGATTACAAGCCTACATGTTATTTTGAGTTTAACCCAAACGGCACCATTTAAACAGTACGAAATATGGATGCATGTTTTTGTTGTTCAATACTTCAATTTGTCTTAATAGCTACAATAAAAATAAACTTTTATTCGATCATAAATTGATTGTTGAATTTTGTAACATCTAGCAACTAAAAAAACTATAGGAAGTTTAGAAATTGAAAATAGTTATTTTTGGAAAGAAATTGAAAATCTGGAAATTTTGCAAGTAAGTTAAAGTGAGGTTCTAGTCAACTTCAAACGGTCATAACTCCTAGCTCAAGATAATTTAGATGTATTTCCAGATATGGTTCGAAAGCTCTTGGAATAATCTTTGCAACGCCGCCGAGTTTACGAAATTTTGAGTTTGAATGAGTGAGTTATGACCTTTGGAAGTTGAGCGTTTGATTAAGAAAATGTCCAATCCGAAAACTTAAAGGGTAATTTAATTTTTTTCCTTACCCAATTAATTAAAGGAAAAATTGTATATAATAGCAAACTAATAACCTAAATTAAATGGAATAGCTAGGGTTTGAGTTAATTGTGTTTCATAGCAAACATTGGCTAAAATTTGCCAGCGTCTCTCTCTCAAAAATCTCGCTCGCCACTTTCCATTCTCGTTTGCCTCTCTCACTTTATACACAGAAATGTATAATTCTGTTTCTGTTTTGTATAAAGCGAGAGAAAATTGTACATACACATGCAAAAATGTATATCTTCGTGCTATACACTTAATTATACAATTTACAAACATTTTACTTCAAATATTGCAGAGAAAAAGGCCAACGAATTATACAATTGCGAATTATACAATTGCAGTGAAATACAATTTTCTCTAGCTTTATACAACAGAAGTGTATATATTGTGTTTCTGTTTTTGTATAAAGCGAGAAAAACATATATCTTCTTGCTATTCACTTATAATTATGCAATATACATACATTTTTATTCGATTCAACTCTATGCAAAACAAATTATACAATTGCACCAAAATAGGCCAGCGAATTATACAATTTAGGCCAGCGAATTATACAATTGTATATGTATAGCAAATTATACAGTTTTATGTTTGCTATGGAGCGTAATTATGCAAAGTTTGTTATAGCATACAAATATGAATTTTTTGTTTGCTATATATGAAAGTTGCCCATAATTAAATCCATTTTTAGTAAATTAATTAGGGTCAAAACTTAGTTAAAATTGAAATGAAAATATATTTGTAGAACAAATTGAGGAATTGGTAGAGTAAATATAAAAGGGCAAAAGACAACAATCACATATTTTTTAAGGTAAAATTACCATTTGTCCCTTATAAGTTTATAATTACAAAAATCCTTCAAACTGATACAATAATAGGAACGTCAATACATTAATTTGATGCGCGAGATACGTTAATTGTTAAGTAGGATACATTATATTTTATACATGTTACTAATCCGATATACATTATACACATGATACATTAATTTGATGTGTGAAAATAAGAGATGTTGAAAATTTGTAAAAGTAATAGAGAATAATGGTAATAAGAGAGGTGAAATTTCAGTCATTTAAATAATATAATATATATGAATACAAAAACGACACAGTATAAGCGCACATATACTATTTTGGGGTTTAACTCGGAACGGTGTCGTTGAGAGCAGTATGCATTGCATGGATCTGTTTCACCATTTGTCGTACTACTTCAATACACGTAATAAGCATGCCGGTAACACGTGACCCCTCTTCTCTTTTTTCAGGACTGCTATAAAAGGGGCGGATTTGTGTAATCCTTGTTTTCAACTTCCGTTACTCATTTTAGCCCTCTTCCTTCCCTCGAATTGATCGCTCTCCCGGATTTTACAATCGAATGAATTGCTGCTGGTTTGTCTCACAGAAAAAATGTCGATTAGCTTCAAATTCAGAAGCTGTTCAGACTTCGATTCGGTTGATATAGATGGCCGGACCTCTATATCTTTAGGAGAACTAAAGATCAGGATCGCCCGACTGAAAAATCTCAACGTAGGCAGGGATTTCGATCTCATCCTCTCCGATGCCACCTCCGGTAAAGGTCAGTCAATCTCTTTTTTTTTTCTTCTCTTCCATTTTTATGCACACCGGTTGCTTCTGGTGAATTACACATGTGCAAGTGTCTCTGTGGATACACATATATGTTTTTGAACTTCTTTTTATTAATTCACTGTTATATATATCTATGTATAGGTTGTGTATATATGTTCATACTGTTGAATTGTATTTTTTTTATGTGGATTGTTTGATTGAGATGGATAGGTTGATATATATATATCTATATAGAGAGATAGAGATGGACTGATAGAGAAAAACTTTCTTGAAATTTAGTGACGTTATAATTTTTCTAGGCTGATTAGAGTAAAAGATATATCTGCATTTCTATTTATGTGTTTTTATGTGTGTGTGTTTTGTATCTTCCAATCCACTGGGATTTACACAAAGTCTGATTTTTGATCTACATGCCTTGTGTTTGTGGTTGCAGTGTATGATGACGAAAGTATTCAGATTGCGAGTGGGTCAAGTGTAATTATCAGGAGAGTTCCTGCTAAAAAAACTCCTTCAACTATTAAGTGAGTTTTTAATACTTGCAAATGCAAAATCCTTTTGATAACTTTTACTACTATATGTCTTATTAGGTATTAGGTCGATTTAATTCCTTTTATAGCTTAAATTCTCTCATCCTTTGCTGTAAAACTGTGTTGTGAGGTTTTCACTAACTTGGTTGTATTGTATGACATAAATTAGATTGTGAACTGTATAAGAAAATTGATGTTCAATACTAGATGGGCTTTGTATTGTTATCATGGTATTTATTGGTAATTATTTTAGTTGGAGCACTATAGTGTCAGTCATAATTCTTATACTTCGCGGAACAATGTATTTGTTTAGATAATGAGGTGCTTTAATAATGATTTGTCATTTAAGTTTGTTTCTGCATTCTGAAGTCTCTCATATGATTTGACACGGTAACAGGCCAGCAATTGGTACCATGAAGTATTTACGGTTGAAACATGTTGATCGTATGAACCAGGTGGTAAGTGTGGTTACCATTTTTTTCTTTTGCTGCACTCATGGTGTCTGTTACTTTTTTCCCTTTGAGAGTCACTTACAAACCCAAAATTTACGGTGCACAAGTTGTCTAATATACTGCATATGTTACAGGATGCGCAAGTCAATAAATTTCATGACTTTAGGGCTGATTTTTTTCCGCTGGATGAGGGAATATTTCCCAAGAATGATGTAGGATTTGATCAGCAGAACTGCTGGGACTTTGAGAAAGATTACCCCTTAGGTCCAAGGTATATTACTTCTGACTTTCTCTTTAATAATTTGGAGTAAGTTTCTCTCAGATTCAAGGTATATTACTTTCTGACTTTTAGTAACATTACTAAAGATTAGCCACCCCCCTAATCCACCACCAGGAAAATGTATTAGAAAAAATTTAATAGAAGCAGCTTGGAAAACTACTGTTTCACATTTATGCTTCTGTGTACTATATTGCATTATCTATCTTCTATTTTAGTCATTCCTTTTAGCCCATAAGCATGCTGATGTTTGTTGTTTTATGGTTGAAGGGCGATACGCTCCAACTTTCCAGCTTTTCGCAGTAAGGTTTTACCGGACGTACTGAGATGCCCTCTCTGTAGAATCTTCATGAAGGATGCTGTAATGATACCTTGCTGCCAGCTCAGTTTTTGTGAGAAATGTGAGTAGTATATGCATTATTAAGCAGTTTTGTCTGTTCATCCGTGCTTGCTTCCATTATGCATTTGTTTCTTCTGAAATGCATGTGTCATGAGTATTATATTCACTCTTTGCACTTGTTATTACTTACGAAATCTCTTTTTGAGCGTATTGTGTTCTTTGATAATAATGATTTTGAGCATTGAGAATATACTTCTACTTTTTCTGGATGAATGTATCTGCAGGCATTCGTCTGGTTCTTCTAGAAAAGGCGAAGTGCCCAAAATGCTCTTCTAGCAGGTGTAGAGTGGAAGATCTGCTACCAAATTTATCTCTCAGGCGCACAATTCGGCGTTTTCTTGCAACTGATCCAGAAAATGCTTTACGCAGATATGTTCCAGGTGAAAATGATTGCTACATGAGAATTGTGAATCTTGAATAGAGACTGGTAGTGAATGAGGTGTGACTGACCTGTTTCTCGGTGCAGATGGTGAATCTGGCAATCAGGTGAAGGATATGTGTTGTGCTGTAACTGTTGCCCAACAGGAACCGGAGATGCCTCATTCACCCTCAGCTTCTGGAAAAGGATCCAATCAAGTTATGGGAGACCCACCTGTTGGGGAAAAAGCGTTGTCTAGGATAATGCAACAAACAGATGGAGGAAGAGGTCAGTATAATCGTTGGAATTTTCCAAGTATACATGATGACCCAGAATATTTTGAGGCTAAAAGCAAGCCTCTTAATTTTCTTCATTCCCATGATCAAGATTAAAGTATTTCTTCTGCATTTAACCAAAATTAACTTTGGATTACTCAAGATATTTGATTTTCTTATGCAATCGGTATCTTACATAGATTTGAATTTAAATTTGATTGAACCCATAATCTATTCTTTATCAAGTTATGTTCAGTAACTATTTTGCCATATTCTAGATCATTAGATGTTTTAGGTTTTTGTCCTTACCTATTATGTTGTGACAAAAAATGTAAAAATGAACTTAATATCGTTCAAATTGATTTTCTCTCGACTTAAAAAAGCTATATCACTGCTTACTAAAAGGTTGAGATTTGCATTACTTTTTGCACTCCTCATATTTGCTTTGTCTACCGGGTTATTCTTTGTTTATATAGTGGTTTTGCTGTAGTTAATGACTATTTGATTGCAGATTCTTCCATCAAGAAGAATGCAGACCTGTGGTGTGACACAAGAGGTAGGATTTACGGCTTTCACTGGCTCTTTACATGTGCCACTGGCATTATGAATTATTATCATGAACTTATGATATCTTAATTCTGGTTTTTGCTCATTAATAACAGATCTTTTATTACTGACTAGAAATCATGTCTTGATGCAGGTGGGAACATGAATTTTGCACCTGCTGATATTATGGAGGTATGGTACCACTTTTGTCAGCATGCATTGTACCATTTTATGGGTTTTAGGATAACCCTGAGATGCAACCTGTAATCCAGGCTAAATTACCCTTCTGTCAGGGTTATAATATCCAAGCTAAATATCTCTATATGGGTGTAAGCAATGTTTATTATACAAAAGTGAGGATAAGAAAATATGAGAATGAAATGTTCTTTCTTTTATATGTGAATATGCTATTGAAAATTCCTAAATGAGTGTGAATATGCTCTAAATTGTGTCATTTATTGCAATATTTGACTTGATAAATGATGCACCGTTGGTGATTTTGAGAATAGTTGGATGCACATTTATTGCATGGGCTTGACATTTTACAAACATGAACAAATTATTTACTGTGCATGTACATGCATTCAAACATATGATAACTCTAAAGACGCAGGACATTGAGATGCCTTGAAGTGTAAATTATGTGATGAATCATCAGAAACATTTGCAGTAGTACTGAGGCGTTCCTTATCATGTCCATATCTTGGGACTTTGAGATGAACTATACCTTTGTATGTCTGCATTCTTATGAACTTCACCGTAACTGTGTAAGATCTTTTGTTTGGTTTAGAGTAAACATCACACATCTTTCCTCATTTCAGATTTTCACATAATCACATTAATAATTCTCCCTTTAGTTTGTCTTTAAAGAAACCCTCTTTGGCTGGATAACTTCAACTTATGTTTTTTTGCTTAATGAAATTAAAAATAAAAAAGCATTACCTTCTTATCCTGGCTGAGTTGGAGTTAAACAATATTCTGTCTATGTGATCAGTGATAGCAAGATAGATTGCAACAGAAAGATATACGATCATTAATACTGAGTAGGAAAGAAAAATGATAAGTATTTACTTAGTCATGATGTGGTGTTGGGCCTATAGGCATAAACTGACGGTTGTTTTTGGTTCTTAGGACCGTAACTGTTATGTGTATGGTTCCAATCCAAATCCAATGCTTCAAACAGGTAAACCTTTTGTTTGGTTAATTCATATTGTAGGCAGAGCGTTGTGTAATGTTTTTGCTTTGGCTGTGCTTGAAAAAGGAAACCTCATGCTTACAGGAGGATTTCCAGCCTATTCATCACCTTACTGGAATAACAATACGTATTCCACACCACTGCCATTTGCAAATATGTATGGTAATGCTGGAAATGCTTCATTTAATGCTGATATGGTTCCCCCGGCGCCTGCTTATGTTCCTCCTTATATGCCATCTATGCATGCTGGCATGCCTTTACGTGGGTAAGTCAGTTCTTCGTTTTATTAGCCTTTGTAGCTCAATGATTTCTCGATGCGGTTTATCTATAGATGGGCGTCCTTTATCATGTAAAATTCAAAATGATGCAAATGAATTTGCGACCTTGGAAACTTCTCGCAGAGAAATCATGAGAATGGGTGGTATGGCACTTCCAGCTGGAAACAGAGATGATCTCCCATTGAACCAATATGAGTACATGGGTGGCAAGCTTGCTGAAGATAAAAGGATAATTCAGAATGAAATTATGGGAAGGTAATTTTAGCTATATTAATCAATAGTAGAATGCAATCGCCACGGGTTTATTTGTTCTTGCAATATCTAAAACAGGAAATAGTCTTCCAAATCTTAGCGCGCATTGATTGCTTTTGGATGTTAGCTTGACGTAATGCATTATCTGTAGTGGATGTGATGCGGTTTGTCATCTTTAGCTAAATGGTTAAATTAGTCCCTCTGGCCTCTCCTTTTCCATCCTCTCAAATTCTGAATTATCACATTCATAAGTAGTTGCCGATTCATGTTAGCATGCATCCTCCTTTTTCTGAGCACTCAAACTCTGAGTGCAAGAAACAATGGGATCATCTGAACATAGTGCAAGCAACAACGCAATAATCTAACCAAATATATTTTGTGAACGTTTTGTCTCTTAGTACGTTTATGTGTAAATTGTTTTATGCAATTGCGTAGCTCTTAAGTATCTGCCTTGTTTTTGCTGATTATGGCTCCAATTATTGATTTGTATTCTTGTCAGATGCCACACTTTTGAGGTACAGCAGGTTTGACAAAGGGTAAATGTATGATTTTAAAAAATTGCTACTTTTTCCGAAGTCAGGTTTTGATCCTTGACAAACTTGACTCTACATTTGAGTGTTATTGGATATTAAATTCATTGACCTCTGTCCTTTTGTCTAAACCACAATACATTTTTACTCTTGATTGCTTTCCAGCTGAAGTAAAAAGGTGCATTTCTTTTCCTTCAAAGTATATTACAAGGTTCTCCTTACCACATTAATATCTGTCCAAGTATTCTAGTGCTTTCTCTGTGCCACTCAATATTTTTGGCACTACATATTGTATGCTAGATAATTATTCACGCTTTCCTTTGAAGAACTTTGTTATTTCCTTTGTCCTTCCCTGGAATAAGTTGAGAATTTAGAACACAACATCAGTGAGTTTTTTATTTCAGTACTTGTCATTTTTCTTTTGCCTGTATCTTGCCTCCACCTTCTCATCCTTGTATAGTTTTCTTTTAGTTACTTTCTTTTTCATGTATGTCTGATTAAACTATGATTTTAATTAAAACTACCTTGCACAGTGGGCAATATTATCAAGCTGAGTCTAACTTTAAGGAGCATTTCCCAAAGGACGATCGAGTTGCAACAGGGAAGTTCCACAAGAAGAGGGAACCAGGTACAAATTGTTCTGAGGATCACTTTGCTCGCAGAACACACAGAAAGCAGCTCCATGTTGAGAAAAGAAGGGAGAGAAGTCGTCGTTCCTCATCTGCTAATAGAGACAAGGTGACCCGTCACTCTGACAGGTTCAATGATGGCTTTCTTGGTAGTTCTGATAGGCGTAGGAGAGAAATTCATCAACACCATTTTCGGGACTCAAGAAAGCGTCATGAAAGAGACTCTCATCACAAGCATTTCCCAAGTTCTGCACATCCTGTGCATCAGACGGCGCGATCCAAAGAGAGGAGGGGTTTTGGGCATGAGGCAAAGCACTCCAGGCACCATGCAAGACACTTCACTGATGAGGTTCGTGACAACAAGAAATGGAAGAGTAGCAGCTTTTATGAAGATTGCAGAGATGGTTATCATCACAAGCGAAAGAGAGATCATTGAAAGTGATGAATGTGAACTTGTAAATGAAGTTGCACATACATCAGTGTAGGTGAACAATCAGCTTCCTGTTTCCTTTTGAATATGTACCTTGAATCAGCTTGGCATTGTTGTAGTATTGGTATATGGTCTTTTATAACCCAATAGACGATGGAAATATGTAGGTGTCTGCAACTTATAAAATACATAAGTATTTAGGATCATCTAATTTGCAATCTGTTTGCTTTGTTGGTACAGATCTGTAGAATGGTTGGCTTTGTTGATACATATCTGTAGAGTAACCGGCTTTTGGAAAGTACCTCATGACTAACCCTGTTCATTTACGTAACTGTAATCCTCTTCACTTCTTTAATGTGAGGTCTGGCTGCTAGACAGAGATTTTAACCAGAAGCCATCTGGTTACAAATAGTATTTTGGATCATTTTATATGCTGCCCAACCATCGTTTTGGACACAGGTATGGAAGCTGATTTGAGGTATGTTCTCTAACATGGATATAGAATAGGCTTTCTAATGCTTACTGCAATTAAGTCCTATTCACTTAATTTGGAAAGCCTATCACTTCCGTCTAGCAGCCAACTAGGTCGATCAACACATAAAATGATGATTATTAGCAAGATGCTCCTAAAAATAAATTTAAATAGAATGATAACATAAATAATAAAGTTATCTTGCGATATGTTCGTGAGATGTAGCGATGCATAAATGCTTGCAGAACCTTCCATGATTTCACTATTAAGGGCAACCCGGTGCATTTAGTATTTCGGGTTTTATGATTTCATTATATCCAAGGGTAACTTGGGGCACAAAGTATTTAAGGTTCGTAGAACATTTAATGATTTCACTATCAAGGATAATTTGATGCACAAATATCTCAACTTTCCATGTATTTCACTACCCTATAGCGACTCAGTGCACAAAGTACTTCAGATCATTTGTAGAACTTTGCATAATTTCACACTATTCAAGGGCAACTCATGCACAAAATATTTCAGATTCGTAGAACCTTCCATTATTTCACTACCCAAGGCAACTTGGTGCACAAAGAATCTCAGATTTATAGAACCCTGCATAATTTCACTATCCAAGGACAACTCTATGCACATAGTATCTCAAATATGTAGAACCTTTCATGATTTCACTATTCCGAACAACTCGGTGCACAAGTATCTTGGATTTATAGACCTTCCATTTAAATGTCATACTATCCACAACGAAGTACTTGTAAGGACTCACTGAAAACACGCACTTCCAAATCTGTGCACTGATAATACACACTATCAATTATCTAAAAGTACTAGTGGCGTTTGTGTTTGTAACAGACCGTCCAAAGGGCCCACCTTTACCTGCATTGAATCAACCGTTTGCTAATTTAGTTCTTTAACCTTCAAAAATGGCAAGATGGTGTTTCAGAAACTTTTCTGAACTCCTTCGTCCCAACCAAAGTCGTCAAAAGAAGTTCTAAATGGTGGATATGACCTGTATGAATAGATACAGTTCATGAAATTGAGCGTTTTAAATTAAGAAAAGAGTTGAGACTGTTACGAATTAAAGCTCACAACATACCATTATGTGATTCTTTTTATCTGTCTTGTCTAATTTTTATGGACAAAATTACTTGATACCTATAGCTAGTAAAAGGTAACAAATATCCTGTAGAATTAGTGAAGGCCTATAAAAATTAGCAAATGTCACTCCCTAATTTTTACGGATAGCTAGTAAAAGGTAACAAATATCCTGTAGAATTAGTGAAGGCCTATAAAAATTAGCAAATGTCACTCCCTAATTTTTACGGATATCTAAGAAACTGTGGGTTGTTGGATGCATGGACGCGTCGCGGGAGACATTATTGTCTTGCTATCTAGGTCATCCACGTAGTTGCTTGTGGCGGTGTACACATACAAGTGCTTGTTGTCGGTATTTAGGTTAGATCATATTAAGTAGGACGAGTGGCAACTGTGACCAACTAATGTTTTAATCACATTCAATGGTTACCCTAATTAATTAAGTAAATATGTTGCATGTGCATTTAATATATACAAGTATATCCACACTGGAATTTATTACTTATTCAGGGTAAAGTAGTATAATTTTGATCTGATAATGAGTGTGAAATGTCTCTCTAATGCCTCTTTTGATACAATATGCATCATATGGTGCATGATTCAGGAAAGGGTGGACTTATTTGTGGTGTGTATCTCCTAACACAAGGAGCTTAGATATACAGATAGATTAGGCTTGTTCAAGAGTACCTGAGCGTTGCTTGATTTCAAGCTACTAAAGCTGTTGGAACGAGCTAAGTTTGTTGGGGTAGCTTGATCTTAACTTGTGATTTTGGTAGGATTGAACTAAGATTATTGAAATATTAAGCTTTTTAGCCTGACCCGAGTACGTATTCTGGTTTGAAGGCTTGAGTAATGTGAGTTAGATTAGTCTGAGCCAAATATAAATAAATAAGGTAGAACATCAATAATAAGTAGAAAGGAACAAAAAACTGGTGGTCAGATTGATAGGAATTAAAGCTCAGAAGGAAATGTTAAATTCATATCAACTTAAGACTTTTTCGAAGTCTTGATGTCCCAGTGGTCCGACACAAATCTCCTTGAATTTTACTAAGGTGTGGCCTAAAGGTGATAATGTGGTTGAGAATTTTCAGGTCTTAGATTTAAAATTTAGTGGAGATAAAAAATATATTAGGTAATTCTTTTTATTTATCTTACTAATCGGGGAATAGAGTTATACAGTTAGAGTTACAAACATTTTGTAGAATTGATCGAGTGGTGAAAAAGTTGGCACATATATCACAATAATTAAAAAAGAAAAGATCTTAATTTGTAGGGAGATCTAAGTAACTGTGTTTGTTCCATGCATGCACGTGTCCTGTGAGACATTATTGTAGTGCTATCTGTGTCATCCACGTACGTTGCTTGTGCAGTGTACCACATACAAGTACATTCGTTGTCAGTGTTTCAAAGAGAGTATTGAGTTATTGTTAGGTAGGTTGAGACCATACTAGTGGGAGGAAGAGGCAACTGTAACCAACTAACTAATCTTTGGGGGAAAACTTAATCACATCCCATATTTACTATAATCAATTAAGTAAATATGTTACATGTGTTTTTAATACAATTAATGTATTCAAGTATATTCTCTGGCTGGAATTTATTACTTAATCAGGGTAAAAATTTGTGGTATTTAACTCTCATGCATCTGGAGCTTAGACATACAGATCGATTAGTCCAAGCTTGCTCAAGAGTATCTGATCTGTGCTTGATTTCAAGCACTAGAGTTGTTAATACAGGATAACTTTATTGCATCGGATCGGCCCAACTGATGATTTAATAAGATTGGGTTAAGATTATTGAAAATAATTTAACAACAAAGCTCTTTAGCCTAATCCGAATAAGTTTACTTGTTAGTGGGGCTTCAGCAAGCTAGGTTAGGCTGCGGCTTATGGGTTAAATAAAAAATAAATAATAAAGTAGAACAATAAAAATAAGTAAATAACAAGAATAATTTGAACTCTAAATTTACTTAAATCATTATAGGTAAATATTACAAGTTAATATTTCAATTTAGCTAGTTATATTGTTATTTTTTAATTGTTTAGTTTGCTTTATTAACGTATCTTCTTGGTTTTAATAGAATAATGTTAAAAGTTATTTAGTTTCACATAAATTTTATGTTCAATATCATTTCATATTGTAGTTGTGCTCCAGATACTTGTATAGTAACATCTCGTAGATATTTATCTTAATATTTTAAGATTAAAATTTTAAATATATATATATAGAAATAGATAGATAGATAGATATTTCTTAAAACAGTGGACTAGCCAGCCATGACGTGGTGTGTAATCCACGTAAATAGAAAGACACCCCCACAAAACCCTCGTAACCCATACCCCAAAAAGAGAAAGTAATTCGTTGTGTAGGCTATCGTGTAGTTGATAAAATTAGGTGGATGGCTAGTAAATTTTGAGAAGTTGTTGGTTTTTAAATTTTCATGAACAATTTATGGAATTTGAACTCTACAAATTTTCATGACAGATTTTGAAATAGGTATTATTAGTGAGATAGAGAAATATTTACGTTGAATATCAAGAAAAACAATTATTTCAGTCATGATGTGGGAACTTAATGATTGTGATTTGGATTTCAAAAGAGGTATCATGTGAAAAGGTTTGCTTCGCTCTCGAACATCTTTTGAACTCGAGGACTTCAGAGTTCAATTTGTGTTGTTCAGGAGATTGAATAAGCCTTTTTATAAAACTACACTAGGATTTATTTATTTTTTCAAAGGGACATATAGTTGTTAATAAATAGTGTACTATCAATATTTTACATATACACTTGTTTATACATGATTACATGGTCTATAAATTTAAGTATATGTATGTATTTGAAAATACACTATCTAAGTGTAGATATTTTATAAACCAGATGAATCGAAAATTCTGAACTGTAGTTTTCTCTTTAGAAAATGGTGATGGGAATTTCAACCGTGTGTGTTCGAGTTTCACGTATGAGAGTTTTGAACTCCAGTATACCCAGATTTTCACTTGCAAGAGACCTTCAATCTCTTAACAGTGTGTTGGGATTTCACTTGTCAAAACTTTGAAATTTAGCATGGATTGTTGAAGTTGTTTTATGTTTTAGCTGGGCATATTCTTGTCAAAGAAACAAGTGTCGAGAGTGGCTGAAGGTACTTCTATAATAATACTAATATTTAATAGGAAAAATTGCTTAAATAGGTGTCTTTTAATAAATAATTACTGATTTTAGTAATATTTTTTATTGATTATCATTTATAACAATACTATGATAAATTTGTAATATGTGTATTATAACTGTTTTTAAAATATATATATAATGCTTGTTTGGTTAGAAATTGACACATTGTATTATAAGTGTATTAAAATGTACGATAAATGTATTATTCATCAATAAAATTTGTATGTTATGTGTTTTTTAGATTGTTCTCTGTAATGTTTTAAAATTGTATTATAAATGTATAAAAGTGATCAAGTGAAAAGAAATTATTATTGTTATAAATGGTAAATATTTTCTTAATATAGAATATTTATGTAAGTTTTAGGTGTTGATGGCGTGTTTGGCTGGTTTTTAAGAACATATATATATGTAAAGTAAAAAGTATCCATATTATCTAATATGAAACTAAGAGAACATTAATGTAATATTATGATCAAGAACAAGCTAATAATATGACTTTAAAAAGGTAGGTATTAGGTTTTTGCATGGTATTATATTGAAAAGTTTATACGATAATTTTAATTTTTAGTTTACAAAAATATTATATTATTTCAATATCAAATTTATTTGGTATGGTTTGATATTCTTATGTTCGGTTTCAGCATTTTGTTGTATTGTAATTGATAATTATAACTTGTTTTACTTCCATTTACATATAACTACGTAATAGAAATTATGACTCTTGACTTTTATAAGAAACATTTTAATTATATTATGTTACATTTTAAACATGTAGAGATATTCAAAAGAAAGTATATGCAATTTCCTTTGCTAATTAATTACATAAAATTTAAAAAAATATCAAGATAAAGTACTCAGAGATTCATCATCTAACAATTAGTGTTGTACTTATATTAGTTTATATAAATTATGAGTGTTAGTATTATATGTGTAATTATATATTTTAGCATGAGATTTTTAATATTATAAGAAAGCATACCAAAACAATAGGAGTATTAAATATAATAATATTAAAATTATGGAATCAAGAGGTTTCGTTGGGTATGGTATGGTGGAGTTACTATATAATTTTAAGATGAAGTGTGTGAAAGGTAAAATAAAGTTATTAAATAAAAAGTAAAAGCAAAATGAAAAAAGTAAGGCAACAAAATAATTACATTAGATTGATTGTCACATAAAATTATATTCTTTTATTGTTATATAATAATAAATCTTGAATAATAATGAAAATAAACATTATTCCCTCTGTTCATTTTTACTTGACAGATATTATTATTTGACTTGATATACCTATTAATAAAATAATTATTGATATATGTGTTATATCATACTGTCCCTATTAATTGAAAAAAAGTATTTATTTCTAAAGGTAAAACATGAAAAAAGTTAACTCTGTTTTCTTGATAGGTTAAAAGTAGAATAAAAATAAGAGTTGATTTGGTTGAAGTACAATTTTTCCCCTTCAAATCAACGTACAGTTCATGCATCTTTTCATTGTTTCGTCCCCCTATTTTTCTTTTTCTTTGTTGAAAGAGGAAGTGGACGAATTCAAATCGAGTTCTTTCCATTCCTAGAACAGTTGTTTAATGGGTGAATTTGGTCCTTTAGGTAATGCAACTTGGTTCTCAAAAAAATGTAGGCCAAGTTGACCTATTTATTGTATGGATTAGTTTTATTTACTCGGTCTGATCAAGACCAACTAGATATTGGTTGATGACTGATATTAGATGAGTGGGCAACAATATGTGCTCCTCATTTATTGTTAGTTCAAATTCAAATTGATCTACGATGCAAGCTAAGCAAATGATCAAACATTGAACTTGTCGACCAATACCCTATCTGAATGAATTCTGAACCATGGGATTGGTTGGTGCCTCCACTTCCGGCAGCAGGAAGAGGTTTCCATTGGCTGCGCAGCAGGAGATTATGAGGGCAGCCAAGAAAGATGACCAGTACGTCTCCTTAGTCTATGCAGCTTGTCGTGATGCTTTTTGTCATGGTCTTATTTATTACCCTTTCTGTGCTTTAGCTTCATTACGTAACTAACAGTATTATCTTTAAAATCTTAAGTGTGTTGTTTTTCAGGTACAAGAGTCATCGTAGCTTACCAGAATGAGGTAATTCTTTTTTACCTCATATTGTTATCTTAGCCTTTCCAATAATATTAAATTAATTTTTCACTAGTTAAGATTTCTTCCCATTGCGTTGGCAGTAATCTGGTGTTATACGGGTGGGAGAATGCAAGTACTAGATTATTGGTAGTGGTGGGAGAGTAACAATAGGGCGGGATGGGTTGAGCTTGACCCGCAAAAATTTTAGTCTGCTTCACACATTCCTTCAATATAATGAGAAGCCTGAATGTCCCCTTTGTCATCCTCCCATAACCCATTCATGCTTAGTCTGTCTATATCATTCAGATTTTTAGTCATGGATAGGTCAGGTGTTTCAAAAAGATGACTGCAAATAAATCATGGACAGGTCTATTCCAAATGTATCAGAAAAGGTTCAGTCATTCAGTATTCTACTTCATGACCCGAAATGTGAGATCCAGGGGCATAGCAATGTTATAGTTATGGTGTCCAATTCATTGGAAAATAATAGTATATGTAAGTAAAATGATATACAAAGTGATTAAATAATATATTCTGGACACTCTTGACATAATAAGGTGTTGTAGCTCAGTAATTTTAGACGCCTTGAAAGAGACAATGCTTAGGATTCTCAAGCTCTGGAAGTGCTGTTGGGGTAAAGGGTGGTTGTGATCTGTGGAAGGAAGGTTAACTTTGGTGTAGCAGATAATGTTATCGAAAGCAAGCACATAACAACTTCACTTGATTTACATGACAGCCTGCTTGTCTTGCACTGAACAACGACCATTTGATTATCCTTCACAAGAAGGTGGCAGAGCTGTTCTGGATATTAGTATCAAATTTTCCATGTTCTTTGGGAATGGATTAATCACTGACACTGTTGAGGAATGACAGGTATTTGTGATGTAATTTAAGAATTTTCACTCGGATTTTAGTTCAAGAATTTGCACTAAATTTAGTATATCATTGTGATATATTCCAAAATTGAATATAAAGATGAAAAATTCAAAAGCGATATTTATAAACTAATTATTCATCTCTTTTGAATATACTCCCTCCCTTCCAATGTGTGCGAAGGTGAAATTGCAGTATTATTACTAGTAAAATTTGACATTAATAATAAATCTCAAACATATAGTAAGTAAAACTAATTGAAAGCAAAAACAAATCTTTTTTTTTCTTTTTGAATCTTAATTGTATATGTGAAGATATAACAAAGAAAGCCAATTTCTAATGGAGGTGCTGCAGAAATACTGCTGGAATTTGTAACATTTTGACTTGGTAGCACACTAGCTAACACTAAACATTTTTCTAACTCTCATGTCCTAAAGCAACAAACTACTATCCATGACTACATATAAGTCATTTTTCTAACAAAACTGACATCATATATAAGGAAATTGTCCCGGTGGTGGTTGCATAATAGGCTCATTGTATCCATAAAAAAGTGGTGGTGCCTCTCTCAACCACCGCGCACTAGTAGAACGCATGTCAAAGTCAAAACGACTAGTGCTACCTTGTCTCTTCCAAGCATGAAAATCACAAGATGGATTCCTGCATTCAGAAGATGTATGATATTGATCTTGTTTTTGTGGCTGTGCTGCATAATTTTCAGGTTTATGGACCCAATCTTTACGTGGTGCATAATGATTTGGATCGTAGTCTCCCCTTGTAAGATGTTGGTTGTAAGTTTCACCTTCTCTTTTTTCATTAATCTTAGCATGATCATCACTAGGCCTATGACAATAAGTTTCCTTGACATTATTACTATTACTCTCCATTGGAGTTTGGTTCTTGGCATGATGAGTTGTTGCCTCCTTGGAACAATAGTATATAAGTTTTACACTGTTAGGTTTCACTATTCGCTGAGTAAGGTAGTCCATGAGTAACTGAGGCTCTACATCCCCTCCTATATATACCCATCTCCTTTCTCTATCTATCTCAACTGAATCCACACCTATCAACAAAACAAAAATAGTATGAGTTAACAAACTATATTCTTATGAAAGAATGAAGCTAACAATATTTTATCAAATGTTTTTACTTTTCATGTCATTTACCGCATTTGGTTGCACTAATTGAAAATTTTGACTCTACGCACACTACTATGTAGACTATCTCTTCATCACTACTCTTTCCACAATTACTAGTACTGTACAATCATAACCGTCAAATAGGTACTACCATCATTGTCAACTATCATCACCCCAACAACAGTTGTGATCACTCTTTTTCGCTACAATCACCATTACCTTTACCATTACAACCATCAACATAACTACCAAATACCTCCGCCATTACATTCACCTACTTTGTTAGCCATCACTAGTAGTCATATATTAAGATACCGGTAAGTTCCACCATCACAATTATCATCATTGTCGACTACCATTGCCACTCACCACCAACACCATCAGATACTATCACCAATCACCTGAACTATCATAGCCACCACTTCCATAATCACAACCACTGTTAAAGCTATCCATCAATTCCACCACAAATAACACCCTTATTAACCTCTACCAACAATCACCTTACAATTCATAATCACATCCACTATTATTGCTATCCATCAATTCCACCACGATACCACCCTTACTAACCCACCTTGCAATTCATATTGTGGAATCTAATGCTTAAACAATTATTTTATTTGACTTTGAATTTTTCACTCCTTTAATTCAATCTTATGTTTTTTAGTTTGACCGAGCAGTGATCACAAAGTTTAAAAGAACAAAAAAATAACTTTATCTGGTCTTAAAAATGTGTAAAATGTTTCAAAATATCATTAAATCTTGTTGGGTAAAACATAACATGTGGTACGTTCAAGCTAAAGAATTACTATGCAATTACTTAATATAAAAAGTGACATTATTCTTAAAAAATATACTTAAAAAATATTAACATAAAAATTAAAACGACAGGAATAGTAGGAATAAATAATTATCTAGATATTGAGAAAATAATGTTACTCAGTATTTAAATCTAAATATAATTGTTAAGTAAGACTTATTTAAGTGGTTGAGTAAATTCATTATTAATCGATAGGTCGAGAGAATAAATAAAAACATTACTGATCCATCCGATGGGACAAGTCCCTTAGGCTTTAGGTTATCTTCAAATCTCAAATTTTAGGTTTAACATTTTGCCAAAACGGCCCAAACCTCCCTCAAGTTGACACAATAACGAAAAAATGAGACAATAAGGAAGCACCCCCAAAGAATTGTTTTTCTATTGAAAGTGGTAAAATGTGTGGATAGGTATGTTCAAACAAATCATTTTATACAGACAACTTCATTAGATATTAGACAAGCAACCGAGATACACACGCTATTTAAACTTATAAAGGACATAATATATTTGATAAATTATTATTTTCTAATATTCCGTATCAAACGCAGAAGTATGTACCTTCTAGTCGAACAATTTTTTTCCTTACTTTTTTCGCACAATTTTCACAACAACCGATGGCCTCTATTTTTATTATACAATCCTGCAAAAAGAGCAACTTTACCTATATCAAAGCAATAAATAAAATTGTGGGAATAATGTAATGGAGAAATTTAACAAATCATTACCGGTTGAGGAGGTTGATGCTCCATGGATGCATAAAGTGGCTAATTATTCCTATTGCTTACTTAATTAGGGTTTAAGATTTGTTCTAGACAGAAATTATTTACTTCCATTATGATTTATGAACAACTAAACATAAATAAGGAAAAACAACAAGAAAGAAGATACACTTACATGGTAAGCTTTTACATTATATTTATTGACATCTTTAATAGTGTCGAGGCCGATTGTGTTTATTAAAATTAATATATATCTTTATTTGAATATACCCATCTAAATATTAAGATACTATGTTTTATATCTTAACACGAGATGATGAATATTATTATTTCTTCACCATCTAATTATTTATTTCTTCACCATCTAAAGAATGGATTTTTATCTTTATTTAGAAAATGATTATATAGAGAATTCAAAAAAAATTCCTCATAAAAAATATGTCCACAAAAAGGAGAACTTTAATTTAGAGAGGAAATTTGTCTGTTTATTAGTTATTACTAATTTATGTATAATTTAATTTATTTTTTTTAATGCCAAGTATATTGATAATGTTTAAATCAGTTTAAATGGAAAACGTGAACTAGAAAGAGATAATTACACTTGACAACTCATAAAGTTACATTACATAATTTATTTAAGATTTTTAATGTTTACCTAAGTTGGCCCAATATGAGTCTTCCTCCGTAATGAAACTCCAACCTTGGTAATAATAGATTCTTATATTAATATAAGTAATTCTATTGAGTATTTACTTTTTTTGAGTTGTTTTACAAACTATAAGTAATTCAACTGAGTATTGTTGAGACTTAATAAGTTGAGTATTTAAGTTTAATAGATTTTGTTCTATTTTAAAGTCTTGAGGTAGTTTTCTGCTCGTAGTCAGTCAATATGAGGGTTCGCTTGGGGACCCTCAAATGTTGATCACGTTGAGGGTGTAGATTGGGATCGTGATAAAAGGTAACAACTCGATATATCCTGAAAGTTCAGTCACTGTTATTGAAGCACGGAAGAGTTGGATGGGTCTCATGTATTCCATATTAGCAAAATTATGTGTGCTACTCAAAGTTGAAAGGATAAATTTGCCAGGTGCGCTTAAGATGGTGGCTTGGGAAGAATGATTTTATTCTTGATCAAGGTCTTTGAGTGAAATTGGATGGAATAGTGGAACCAACTCAAAAGATACACATTTGGTATTGGATACAAGCCTACTCCTAAAGAAGTCTCATCGTCTAATCTCAAAAAGAAAAGTGGCATTCCCTTACCACAACCTATCCCACTCTTGAATCAGTCATTTCAAGACATTGCACAAGAATATTCAGAGGAAAGTGTTGAGATAACCTCAAAAACTTGTTCATTGAAGAAGTTGAATGCAATATGAGTTTGGAGGATTGCATTGAGGCCTGGACCACATGGGATACTATGCTTGGAGATACTTTGAACAATTGGACTTGTAACCCGTCCACGGTTCCCACAAAATATTGGTAGATGATTGTATTAGAATTAACAAAATAGCATGGTCTAAATTTGTGGGGTCCATTCCCATGTACCAAACTTTGAATAACTCTCTGCAAATTTCAAAGTTTGGCAAATTTGGTGCTGAATTATTTTTCAACTTTACTTAATTTTCAATAGTAGGTAAGCTATGAAGAAAAACAATTGTTTTTCTTCTATAGCACATTTGGAGGGTAGTGCATTTGTTTTCAATAAAATGGAGGACAATTCTTCATTCTAGGTGCACCAAAAAAGAATTACAAAGGAGAGAAAAGAAGACTGAGGCATCACAGAGGAAAATATTCTGTGAGGAAAAATAGAGAGTGTGAGCGATATTGTAGTAAGGTGAAAAAATCAAAAGAGTGTTATTTCTTTTGAATGTGTAGTGGTCTTTGGAGTTTTACTCAGACATACAAATGTAAAATCCTTACTATAGTGATATTCGTTGCTCCTCTCGGGTCGTGATTTTTCTCTTATTTAGGAGGTTTTTCACGTAAAATCTTGGTGTCATTATTTCTCTTTTATTCTCGTTGATAAACTGTATCGTTGTGTTCCACATTTACTGCCTTTATTATCGCAAATATTATTTTTGTTACGGATTTATTCCCAACAATTGGTATCAGAGCACATGTCCTGCTCATTTACAGAAATATTTTTTGCAGCTTATTGTACTATACTCAATAAAAAAATGTTTGGAGTAAAGTACGAGGTAGCAATATTCAACAGTGATAGCGGTTTCTCAACGTGGCAGAGAAGGATGAAAGACTCGCTCATCCAACAGGGTTTGCATAAGGCACTAGGCGGTAAATCCAAAAAGCCTGAATCCATGAAACTTGAGGATTGGGAAGAAATGGATGAAAAGGCTGCTAGTGCAATCATATTGCACTTAAGAGATGATGTAGTTAATAACATCATTGATGAAGAGAGTGCACATGGCATTTGGACAAAGTTAGAAAAGCTATACATATGTCCAAAACGCTGACAAATAAATTGTACCTAAAGAAGCAGTTATATGCGCTACATATGGGTGAAGTACAAATTTTTTGTCTCATTTAAATGTACTTAATGGACTAATCACGCAGCTAGCAAACCTCGGAGTAAAGATCGAGGATGAAGATAAAGCCATAGTGCTCATAAACTCGTTGTCATCTTCCTACGATACTTTAGCAACAACCATTTTACATGGTAAGGACTCTGTTGAGTTGAAGGATGTCATATCAGCCCTTTTGCTTAATGAGAAGATGAGAAAAAGGCCTGAAAATCAAGAACATGCTCTCATTACGGAAAGTAGAGAAAGAAGTTACCAAAGGAGCTCAAGTAACTATGATAGATTCGGAGTTCGTGGAAAGTCCAAGGTCCGATCAAAATCGAAGGCCAGAAATTGCTACAATTGCGATCAACCAGGATACTTCAAAAGAGATTGTCCAAATCTAAAAAGGGGCAAAGCAATGGTCAGAAGAATGATGACAACACAGCTGTCATGGTGCAAAATAATGACAATGTTATTCTTCTCATAAATGAGGAAGAAGAATGCATGCAATTGGCAGGTATAGAGTCAGAATGAGTGGTCGACACAGCAGCATCTTATCATGCCACACCAGTAAGAGATCTTTTTTGCAGATATGTAGCCGGTGATTATGCAGTGGCGGATCCAGGATTTAAAGGTTGTGGGTGCTCACTTTCAGTGTAAAATTCGCTGAAAATTTTTTTAAAAAAGAAATGCTACTGGCGGGATTCGAATCCTCGCCAGTGGCTTCACGCGCCTCTTTTTGCAGAGGTTTAAACCAGCTCACCCACAGCTGATTTTGTTCTATGGGTGCTCATTTAAATTATAATAACATATGTATCATATTTTCTATATATATATATACAAAAAATTTCGAAAATCAATGGGTGCTCGAGCACCCGCGTCTGACTTACTGGATCCGCCCTGTGATTATGGCAATGTGAAAATGGGTAACACAAGTTATTCAAAGATTGCGGGGATCGGAGACATTTGCTTAAAACAAATGTTGGATGCACATTAGTGTTGAAAGATGTGCGCCACGTACCTGATTTGCGGATGAATTTGATCTCAGGAGTTGCTTTGGACCAAGATGGATATGAGAACTACTTTGCAAATAAAAAATGGAGACTCACCAAAGGGGCATTGGTGATTACAAAAGGAGTTGCTCGTGGCACATTATACAGGACAAATGCAGAAATATGCCAAGGTGAATTAAATGCGGCTCACGAAGAGAATTCTGCAGATTTATGGCATAAAAGAATGAGTCATATGAGCGAGAAAGGATTGCAAATTCTTTCCAAAAATTCACTCATCTCTTTTGCCAAAGGTACAACAATAAAATCGTGTAACTACTGCTTATTTGGTAAACAACATAAAGTCTCATTTAAGACATCATCTGAATGAAAGTCGAATATACTTGATTGGTATATTTAGATGTTTGTGGTCCAATGGAGATAGAATCGATAGGAGGTAATAAATACTTTGTTACCTTTATTGATGATGCTTCTCAAAAATTGTGGGTTTATTTATATCTTGAGAACCAAAGATCAGGTGTTTCAAGTATTTCAAAAGTCTCATTGCTCTGATAGAAAGAGAGACAGGTCGAAAGCTAAAACGTCTCCGAACCGACAATGGAGGTGAGTACACTTCAAGAGAATTTGAATAGTATTGTTCAAACCATGGAATCAGACATGAAAAGACAGTTCCTGGAACCCCACAACACAATGGTGTAGCTGAGAGAATGAACCGCACCATTGTTGAGAAGGTGAGAAGCATGCTCAAAATGGCTAAATTACCCAAGACATTCTGGGGTGAAGCAGTTCGGACAGCTTGTTATCTTATCAATCGTAGTCCATCAGTTCCGTTGGAGTTTGACATTCCGGAGAGAGTTTGGACCAACAAAGAGATGTCTTACTCGCACCTAAAGGTGTTCGTTTGCAAAGCTTTTGCACATGTACCGAAGGAGCAAAGAACCAAGCTAGATGATAAATCAATTCCCTGCAAATTCATCAGATATGGAGATGAAGAGTTCAGGTACAGACTATGGGATCTTGTAAAGAAGAAGGTCATTAAAAGTAGAGATGTAATCTTTCGAGAAAGTGAAGTTGGAACTGCTGATGATCTATCCGAGAAGGGCCAAGAAAAAGAATGGTATAGTCCCTAATCTTAAACCATTGATTCTTCTTCTAACCATCCCATAAGTGCAGAAAGTACGATTAATGAAGTTGCTGAGCATGAAGAGCAACCTGATGAGATTGTTGAGCAGGGGGAGCAACTTGGTGATAATACCGAGCAAATGGAGTACCCAGAAGAAGAAGAACAATCTCAACCTCTGAGGAGATCAGAAAGACAAAAGGTAGAATCAACCAAATACCCTTCCTCAGAGTATGTCCTTATCAATGATGAAGGTGAGCCAGAAAGTCTTAAGGAGGTGTTGTCTCTTCCAGAAAAGAGCCAATGGATGAAAGTCATGCACGAAAAGATGGGATCTCTACAGAACACATACCAGCTAGTTGAACTTCCAAAAGGAAAAAGACCACTTAAGTGCAAGTGGGTCTTTAAACTCAAGAAAAATGGAAATGGCAAGTTGGTCAGGTACAAAGCTCGATTGGTTGTAAAAGGCTTTGAACAAAAGAAAGGTATTGATTTTGATGAAATTTTTTCACCCGTTGTCAAAATGACTTCTATTTGAACTATTTTGAGCATAGCAGCTAGTCTAGATCTTGAAGTGGAGCAATTGGACGTGAAAACTGCATTTCTTCATGGAGATTTGGAAGAAGAGATTTATATGGAGTAACCAGAGGGATTTGAAGTATCTGGAAGAAACACATGGTGTGCAAATTGAATAAGAGTCTGTATGGGTTGAAACAGGCCCTAAGGCAATCGTACAAAAAGTTTGACTCTTTCATGAAAAGTCAAACGTATACAAAGACCTATTCTGATCCATGTGTATACTTCAAAAGATTTTCTGACAATAATTTTATTATTTTATTGTTATATGTGGATGACATGTTAATTGTAGGACAAGACAAAGAGCTGATTGCAAAGTTGAAGAAAGATTTGTCTAAGTCATTTGACATGAAAGACTTGGGCCCAGCACAACAAATTCTTGGGATGAAGATTATTTGAGAACGAACAAAAAGAAAGTTGTGGCTATCTCAAGAGAAGTACATTGAACGTGTACTAGAACGCTTCAACATGAAGAGTGTTAAACCTGTTAGCACGCCTCTTGCGAGTCATCTGAATTTGAGCAAACAGATGTGCCCTACAACAAAAGAGGAGAAAGAGGGAATGACTAAAGTTCCTTATTCTTCAGCAGTGGGGAGTTTGATGTATGCGATGGTGCGTACAAGACCTGATATTGCTCATGCAGTTGGTGTTGTTAGCAGATTCCTTGAAAATCCTGGAAAAGAACACTGGGAGGCAGTTTACTGGATACTCAGGTACCTAAGAGGTACCACAAGAGATTGCTTGTGTCTTAAAGGATCTGACTCAATCTTGAAAGGCTATATTGATGCTGATATGGCAGGTGACCTCGATAATAGAAAATCCACTACTGGATATTTGTTTACATTTTCAAGGGGAGATATATCATGGCAGTCAAAATTGCAGAAGTGTGTCACACTCTCTACAACTGAGGCAGAATATATTGCAGCTACTGAAGCTGGAAAAGAGATGGTATGGCTGAAACTATTTCTTCAAGAACTTGGATTGCATCAGAAGGAGTATGTCGTCTATTTGACAGTGAGAGTGCAATAGACTTGAGCAAGAACACCATGTATCATGCAAGGACGAAGCATATCGACGTGAGATATCACTGAATTCGTGAAAAGATAGAGGACAGATCTATGCAGGTCATGAAGATCCCTACTAGTGAAAACCTTTTAGATATGCTGACCAAAGGTGGTAACAAGGGACAAGTTTGAGATATGTCAGAACTTGTCGGCATGTACTCAAGCTAGAAACCTAGAGCTACCTCCTTCAGGGTGAATGGGTCTGGAGGGGGAGATTGTGGGGTCCATCCCCATGTACCAACTTTGAATAACTCTCTGCCAATTTCAAAGTTTTGGCAGATTTGGTGCTGAATTATTTTTCAGCTTTACTTAATTTTCAATAGTAGGTAAGCTATGAAGAAAAACAATTGTTTTATTTCTATAGCACATTTGGAGGGTAGTCATTTGTTTTCAATAAAATGGAGGACAATTCTTCATTCTAGGTGCACCAAAAAAGAATTACAAAGGAGAGAAAAGAAGACTGAGGCATCACAGAGGAAAATATTCTGTGAGGAAAAATAGAGAGTGTGAGCGATATTGTAGTGAGGTGGAAAAATCAAAGACTGTTATTTCTTTTGAATGTGTAGTGGTCTTTGGAGTTTTACTCAGACATACAAGTGTAAAATCCTTGCTATAGTGATATTCGTTGCTCCTCTCGGGTCGTGGTTTTTCTCTTATTTAGGAGGGTTTCCACGTAAAATTTTGGTGTCATTATTTCTCTTTTATTCTCGTTGATTAACCGTATTGTTGTTTCCGCATTTATTGCCTTTATTACCGCAAATGTTATTTCTGTTACGGATTTATTCCCAACAAAATTAAGGCTTGAAATCATGTTTATAAAATTGATATGTTTTGTCTTCACCTTCTGAAAGCTTAAATGTCAAATCTAAATTATGTTTTTCTACTCTATGTTTTTAAAAAAATCCTTATTTATTAATTTTATTTTTTTAATTAAACAAATCGCTCCACATGGAGCGATTTTCAAAATAAAAAAAAATATTTTTTTATAAGTTGTTGCAGATGCAGCGGCTTTCATCAATATTTTTAAATTTTTTTTATTTTTTGCTTTATTTTTTTAAAAAAAAACATTGGCAGTGATTTTTAATTTTAATTTTTTTAAAAAAATCAAATCGTTGTAAAGGCAGCGATTTACATTTAATTTATATTTTTTTTGAAAATTTAATTAAATTGCTGCAAAAAAAATTAGCCGATTAAATTAAGTTTTAAAAAAAATTAGCCGATTAAATTAAGTTTAATGAAAGCAGCGACTTGTTAAAAAATTTTTTTTTTTAAATTTTGAAAGTCGCTTTTTAATTTGGAAAAAGCGAAATCGCTGTTGTAGCAACGATTTCTTAAATTTCCTTTTTTTAAAAAATAATTAAACAAGTCGCTCCAAGTGGAGCGATTTTCAAAATTAAAAAATATAAACTTTTTAATAAGTCGCCTTTCATTAAACTTCTTCTTTTTTTTTTGCTTTACACTTAAATTTATTTTTTTTTTTGAAAACTTAATTTAATCGGCTAATTTTTTTTTCAGCGATTTAATTAAATTTTCAAAAAAAAAATATAAATTAAGTGTAAATCGCTGCCTTTACAACGATTTGATTTTTTTAAAAAAAATAATTAAAAATCACTGCAATGATTTTTTTTTAAAAAAAATAAAGCAAAAAAAATTAAAAATATCGATGGAAGTCGCTGCAGAAGCAGCGACTTATAAAAAAATAATTTTTTTTAAATTTTGAAAATCGCTCCATGTGGAGCGATTTGTTTAACTTTTATTTTTTTAAAAAAAAAACAAATTTTAGAAATTGGTGCTATTGCATCGATTTTGGTTTTTCAGATGGCCAAAGTCGCTATATCGTGAGCGATTTTACCGTTTTGATTTTTTTTAAAAATTGATATGCCCTTTTGAAATTTTTGACAATTTTTTTTACTCTTTTAACTCCGTACTCATAAAATCAGTATATGCGTAGATTATCGAAATCTCAACTAGGCTAGCCTTAAGAATATTTTTTCTCTCCCGAAGATTCACACATTTATTGATAATGCAAAGCATGAGTTATAGTCATTTAACGACTTGAACTCAATAACATGATCCAAAGAAGGCGTTTATGCGAAATTTATGTCCTACATTTAATGACTTGAACTCCACAAAATGTTGATCAACATTTTTACAAGTGTTCACAATAAGTACATTTTCATGAGTTGATTATGTTGATATAAAGTTTGAGTTAATGTTATTTACATATTCTTTTCAAGCACAAAAGCGTGATTTTTGAAATAAAAAAGAATTAAGATACATTTAAAGTGATAAAATTGATTTACGATTTGAAAAACAAAGAAAATAACTTTAAAGTGAAAAGAAGATTACAAATTGAGTGTGTTTCAACGATATGTTTAAGGAGAAGATTATTAATTTACGATATTCTATTGTTAAAGTTATCAAAACATCAACAAATTTTATAAAACATGTTTAAGTTATTTTTCATTAGATTGTTTTGTTGGATTCGTTAGAGTATGATTGTCGAAATGAATTTTGTTGTATGAAATTAACCGTCAAGTATGATATAGTTGATGCACTCAAATTACATCTCTCAATGAAGTATAAAGCGTACGTTACTCAAAAAAAAAAATCTAATAAAATTGAGATTGAATTTTCACAGAGAATATGATAAAAATATTACTCGAATGTGTAACTAGAATAAATGGTCTTAATTCTTAAAACACTTGCATTAAGTAAAAATTAAAGGATTTGACTTTGGTTATTGCTTAGTAACTAAGAATCCAGTTGTTATTATTAAGAAAGTGAAACTAAGATTGTGGATTTCCATTTAAGGTTATAACGTTGATTTAGTTGCTTTTACAATTTCTATCTATGCATTGATCTCATTATTTGAATCATTTTGTTATCATCATATCAATCACTCCGTCCAATTATTTCTCAAATACTATATTGACGTTGCTCCTAGCTAAGCATAAATGAGACAACACATCAAAATGGTTACTATGCTTTATTATCTAAATTTTTAGGTTACTATTTTACAAATCTAATCATTGACTACAAATATGCTAAAGAAAGAAAAATTAGCATAACATGACAATCTATAATCTATTGCCCTTGTATTAGCAATATTTTTTGTCTATTTATTTTGTCACCTGATAGTCTCGTTTTATAATTTTTGAGAAGTACAAATTTTCAACTGAGTTTCACTGTTTTTTCAACTCCTCCTCTTTTACACTACATTTTAATATTGATCGTCTACGATATATTTAACCTTAATTTTCTTTTTGAAATTTCTACATTCTTATCTTGTAATTCAATTTTTTGTTGTATTTCGATGGATAAGAGTAGTTCATTCTCAAAACAAAAAATATGTAGAAAGTGACAAAAAATTCATTTAATGACTTGAACTCCACAAAATGTTGATCATCATTTTTTTAAGTGTTCATAATAAGTACATTTTCTTGAGTTGATTATGTTGAGGCCGGAATTGAAAGGATAATAATTTTTTCAAAAGGGCAATTTAATATATTTTGATATCAAAAGGGTAATATTTTGTTACTTTCATTGACAGTGTTACATAAAGGGCTTTAAAAGTAAGGCTCAAAAATCTACGAGCCTTGTAAGACGCAAATTTAAGTAATTTTTTTTTTTAAAAATTACATTTTTTTCTTACATAATATTCTTTTGTGTTGTATTTTTATTGTTCCTACATATGTATTTTTTGCATGGTTGTCAAAGCATTTATATATTTTTAAAAAATTTGGGGAGTTTTTTATTTTTATAATATGTAGTTTTTTATAATTATTTTAAAAAAATTGTTATTTTGTGAAAATGTGTAAATATGTTTGTGTAAGAAAATTGCAAGGCTACAGGATAACCTTGTTAGTTTTTTTGTTTTTTTTTTCAACTCGTTTTTTAGATTTTGTTTGTTTGTTATTTTAATATAATTTTTTAACTATTTTTGTGTTACTTTATCTAATAGGTTTTTACTGCTATTAATTCAACATTGTAAAATATATCACGCGAACTCAACACTGAAGTTTCACATGTGAAGATGTGAGGGTGTGTGTAAGAAAATTGTAAGGCTAAAGGAAAAATACATAGGTAAGAAACAACAAAAGTACAATTAAAAAAAAATTATCATATAAGGAAAAGAGACTCAATTTTTTTTTTTTAATTACTTGAATTTGCGCCTTACAAGGCTCAAAAAGATATGAGTCTTACAAGGCTCATGAATTCATTAGGAAAAGTAATAAAATATTGTCATTTTAATATTAAAATATATCGAGTTGTCTTTTTGATAATTTCAAAAATTTGTTGCTCTTTTGATTTCAGACTCTGATTATGTTGATATAAAGCTTGAGCTGATGTTATTTACATATTCTTTTCATGCACAAAAGTGTAATTTTGGAATAAAAATGAAATAAGATATTTTTAAAGTGATAAAATTGATTTACAATTTGAAAAACAAAGATGACTTTAAAGTGAAAAGAAGATTACAAACTGAGAGTGTTTCAACAATATGTTTAAGGAGAAGATTATTGATTTACAATATTCAATTGTTAAAGTTATCAGTTCATCGACAAATTTTATAAAACAAATTGTTAAGTTATTTTTCTTTAGATTGCTTTGTTGAGTTTGTTAGAGCATGATTGTTGAAATGAATTTTGTTATATAAAATTAACCGTCAAGTCTGATATAGTTAATGCATTCAAATTACATCTTTCAATGAAGTATAAAGCATACATTATTAAAAAAAATCTAATAAAATAGAAATTGAATTTTCACCAAAAATATAGCAAGAATATTACTCGAAGGTGTAACTAGAATAAATGGTCTTTATTCTTCAAACCCTTTTATAAAATAAAAATTAAAGGATTTGACTTTGGCTATTGCTTAGTAACTAAGAATCCAGTTGTTATCACTAAGAATGTGGAACTAAGATTGTGGATTTCCATTTAAGATTGTAACGTTGATCTAGTTGCCTTTACGAAATTCTCGTCAGGTAAACTTAGAGATCATTAAATACAAGATTCCTTCTGTTCCATCTATAATACATTATCCTAAGTTCTTGCAGCACTTGGTCGATTCTTTAACAACAATAAACATAAATCTTAATATATTGTTCTCATCGGGTCTCAACTCCTCAGATGAAATCATCAAATCCATGTGTCTAATTCTTTCTCTTGATGTTAAATTTTTTTGCACCAAATAATATATTCATATCTATTGAGACAAAATAGTATAACAATCTAATGTATACATCTTTAAATTGAATGTTTACACAATACATATGTATTATGTATTCGCAGTTGACAATTTGCATACAAAGCGATTATGTGTACCAAAATATTTTATTAGGAGGTATATACGCATCAATCGATGTAAAATATATACTTATGTCTACTAACAATGTATACAAATAAAATCTAAATAATGCATATGTTATAATGTGAATATATACTTGATTAAAAATATGCTAGATCAAATGTATTCAATTAAATATATATTTATTTACGGTATATTCTAACGATCACCACATGCTAAATGTATATATAAACATATATGAGATGCCTAATATTAGATTTGGATGAGCAAATGGATACACAAACAGATTATGAAAATAAATTGTGTATACATTATAGTGTAAGTATATATTTGATCAAATATATTTAACTGAATACACGAACAAATATA